GTTCCCTAAACTCTGTCTCCCTATCCTGCCCTTAAGAAGTTCAAATACAGTGTTATAATTCAACCCCTACTTCTCCCATGTACTCCTCCCATCCTATCAAGTGAGACAGCTTGCCTATGGTTGCTTAGGACTGAGGAGAAGGAATTAAGATCCTTGTTCTTCTACTTAAGGAATAGTATCTTCAGTTGCAACCAGTCATGACTTCTGAATGAGACCTGGTTGCCTCCCTTGAATCAGAATGATTTCATTCCACAGACATTCTCCATGGTGCCCCTATCCACAAATCACTGTTTAATCAGTTTGAACTATTTCTTCTAAATACACCATAATCAAATTTTATACATCTACCTAAGGTTTGGTGTTAGTGAGCCACAATAAATTAGGTCCTTCTTGCTTTATCTCAGGTACAAGCCACATAATCTGCTAGGGGAATTCAACCAGGAATAGGCACACTCTCTTTTCCCCCCATAAAGTCAATCTGAATGCATAAGAGGGGCCAGTTGGAGTGGAAGCAGTTCCCTTCAGGAGTAGCTGGAGTGATATGTGAGCATCTGGACAGATGGCCCGTTTCTTGTTAAAGAAATCTGTGTGTCACATACTCTCAGCACCTAACAGCTTACTAAACAAAGCTTGAAGAAAAATCAATTTTGGAAGAGCTTAGATGTTTGATGTGTTGTATCTGAACATACCCTGTGAGTCAGAAACCTGGCTATATTCTGTAGACCACCTAATCTGTTCATTGTGGGTCCAGTAGTTGTTCATTCATAGTCCCTTTTGTCTGTGATGGGCAATAGCAAGATATATTCATTCAGCAACTACCCTCCAAAAGCCAGTACTTTGTCTCTGACAGGATTACAAAAACAGATTTCTCAAGAAGTACCTGCCCACCTGTGTTTAGATCATAAATTGTGGGAAGATCTTGGCAGCCAACTTTTCTAGGAGATGCCCAGGAAGAAGTCTTTTGAGGCCAATAAAACTTTTCAGACAGTTTCCTTCTTTAAAGAGGTTATACTAGAAGAAGAACTGCCATGGAGTATTGGGTTAGAAGGAACTTTAAAAGATTTTACATATCCCTTCTTTTTTAATTCTAGATCTAAAAAATGTGTCTTATTTTAGAAACTCTCCAAGGAACAGAATTTTCCATATCCTTTCCCTTGTTAACCATTTTTTAACTTTGACAAAAATACTTCAGTCAGAAAATTTGATATCACTTATGTGATTCTAATGCACACAGCTGCAACCCAAACCCAGTTCCTTGACTTATATTCTGCTGTTCACATCCTCCTCAGAGGGGGCTGTCATCAGGAAGCCCACTATCTGATCATTTCTTGGCTTCTTCCCTAAAGTTAACTTATGAGAAATTTTCTTCCCTCCCCTTTTGGTAGGTCCTATTTTTTCAAGTATTGAGTGATTTTTGTTGTTGATAATTTTATTGGGAGATTTCCTGTGTGTAGAAATGCACTAGGCCTCAAACTTTGTAATCCTAATACTCCTCCCACTAATGCTTAAACAAATACCAAACAAAATGAGACTGAGATAATGAAGCAGCCACTAACGAAGAAGAATTTAACATCATCTGAGTAGTTATTTGGGCTTTCTGATTTTTGGCTGGAGGAGATATTTATAAAATAAAACATGCTTCAAAGTTAAGTGAGCATCTCATTTATTGAGAATTGAACAAGTTGGCCAGGTTTAGAGAATGCCTGTGCACCAGTGAGTATATTAGTCTCTGAATAGTCTATTTTATTTTCGTGCGGGTTTTTTTTTTTTTTTTGCTTAAGTCAGATCCAAATGTATTATAATTAATGTTCATTTTTGCCTTCGTCTCACAAAAGGCACGGTGGGTTAGCCTTTATGAGACTGAATACTGTTTACCCCCACTCCCTACACACACACACAAATACATACACACACACAGCCCACACATGACAGAGAGATAGAGAGACAGAGACATAGAGACAAAGAGACAGAGAGAGAAGGGGAGCAGGAGGGCACGAGGAAGAAGGGAGACAGAGAAAAGAGAGAGGAAAGAGAGGGTACTTTAATCTTTTGGTTTATAATCATTCTTCCATAACACTGTGCTGAAGGCCTTATCTTATGAAATGTTGTTTAGTTTCCTGTCATTACCATTTTTTTCCCATCTTTTAGCTATTAGCTGAAGTAATTGGATTGGAGAATGGAGATATTTAGAAAACATAAACAAGTGTGATTGTGAAATAGCCTTTACTTTCTAAAAGAAGTCTGAAAGGTAAAGCAGTAGTTGCCTTCAGTTACTTTAGTTACTCCTATGTGTTATCTGGGGAAAAGTTCATTAAAACACATTCTGACAGTTTTTATCCAGTGGAACTTATTTTCACTAGGAAAACGATTCTCAGGATGGTGAGAATGTTGACTAATTGGTTTGCTCATTCCATCTGGCATTACACCACATTCTGAATCAGAACTTCCTACTATTGCGACATGTCTTTTTTTAATTCTTTTTTCTTTCATTAGAAAAGGGTTTGTTACATGTCCATTTATTAATCTAGGACGTTGTACTTGTTTGTGATTACAATGAAGTCATAATAGGCCCATTGAGTTTGTACAGAGAATAAATGGAGATCTCCCAGCTGCTCCTGGAAGCAGATAGTGTAAGGGGTCAGTCACCCCAATATATCAAACCAAAAATTCTGCTTTCCCAAAACATAGGGAACTTTTATTGAAGTTTAATATTCTCAGAGAAAGTATCTGTCAGGAACTCTTAGAAACACCACCCCTCAGTAACCAGTGCCTAGATCAGGAAATTAAACCAGCCACTGGTTGACCAGTCACTTAGAACCTTCCCTGTGCTTTGCAAGCAACCCATATCACCACGAGTAGCTGTGCTGCCATTTTGCTTGTTTTTATTTTTTATGTAAATGAATTACAGTCATGCATCTCATACAGACAGGGGTATGCTCTGAAAAATGTATAGTTAGATGATTTCATTATTGTGCAAACATTAGGGTGAGCTGACCTAAGTCTCCGTGGTCTAACCTGTTACACTGAGGCTACCAGTCTAGCCCATTGGGGCCAGCGCTGTACATATAGCCGGTTCACCCCATGCTGATGAGCATCTCAGGGCTTTGTACACCATATAATAGCTCCTGTCTGACATCTTTCATTCTTCGTTGTCTTTATGGGATTCCTCTACATTTAGAATGTGTTGTGTTTGTTCTTTTAAACTGCTGTGCAGAGAGTTCCATTGGCCGCTGCACCACATTTCATTCATTCTGTGGGTAACAGGCTTCCATGCTGGGTGGGGGCAGCATAGAGGATATTCTAAACACACTGTTAACGAACCTTCTCTTTTGTTTATAGTACACACAACACATGCATTTCCATGGGGTATGTAGCTAGGAGTGGAATGACTATGGTGGTAGATGTTTGTATGCTCATATTCCATAGATAAGCCCGTGGTTGTCAATATAAGCACTCACATTAGCAATGTAGGAGAGCTCCAGTTTCAACAGTGTTTGGTGTTTGCTTTGTGATTTGAGCTATTCCGGTGGGTATATATTAAATGTGACTAAATTGATGTGACTAAATTGATGTTTCCTTGGGAATAACAAATCTAACTGCCCTTTTATGTGATTATTAGTAATTTATACATTGGTTTTGGGGAATTGTCCAAGTCTTTTGCCTACCTTTCAATGAGTTCATTCTTATTTGGCACTGTTTCAAAGGAATTCTTTATAATCTGGATATAAGTTCTTTATTGTATATATGTATTATAAATATTTTCTCTTCCTCCATGGGTTCCTTTTTTTCTTTCACTTTCATAATGGGATCTTTTGATAAACAAATACTATTTTTAACAAGCCCAAATTGCTGTTTTTCCTTTATGATGTGTACTGTTTTATTCAATGTAATCTATCTTTGTCTACTCCACTCCAACTTGACAAAGCTGTTTTATGCTTTCATGTAACATCTTTATATTTAGTTTGCAATTCATCTGACTTGATATTCATGTTGTGTGATAAAGAGGTTAAGATGCATTTCTATTTCTATGTCCATATAAATATCATATTTATATAACATCATTTTCTTAGTTTTTAGCTTATTTAAAATTTAGTTCCAATGATTTTTTAAAATATTTTTCCAAAGAGAATTACTAATATTCTTGAAAAAAATAAAATATATGGAGTACCTAAATTTCATAATATAACCTACAGCTTTATGATACTAGTGTACTTAAGTATTCTACTTTTTGATTAGGATTTCATTTGTAATTCTAGAATATTTGTTTATTTAAAACCAGAGTGATATAGAATATACAAAGCAGAATCTTTTTTTTTTTAAAGATTTATTTATTCATACAGAACTAGGGTACAGGCCAGAGTTGCGGAGGGTGAGAGGATTCACCAGAGACAGAGTGGGGAGCAGAACAGGCAGATTGACGAAGTACACTGCTGAGGGGAGCAGCGGGCGGGTCAGGAGAGGTCTGCTGCGCCATGTGGTCAACTCCGGGCAGGCGGGGATCAAACTCATGGGGAAGTGGCTTTAGCTTCTTGGTGCTGTGCTTTAACCCGCTGCGCCACCAGGAGGGCCCCAGAATCATTTTTTAAAAAATAAATTATTATTCTCACGTTTTCATTTGAATTCAATTCAACATATGTTTACTGTGTATATACTAGAATTGGTTGAGAATATGGTTGAAGCTTTAAGCTTCATTTTTATGTCATTCAGGTTTCACGCCATATAAATACATTTGTCAAACAACTGTCAGCACTAAACTGTTTTTCCTTAGCTTTGAAAATTATATTAGTAAATATCAGTACTAGGTGATGACTCTTATTGTTTAGGATATTCTTGAATCCCTTATATAATGCCTGTATGCCAAGTTTACCAGTAGCCATGAGCCAGATCTTTTAAGACATAAATAATGTTTCATTTTTGTATTTGGAATGCCTGTGAATCCTTCCTCTTTAATCTCATTTCTTCTTAGTTTCATTTTTTTCTCTTTCCATTATTTGTTCCAGGTTGTACTGGTCAGTGGACATCTGGACAGCTGGGACGTTGGGCAGGGTGCCATGGATGATGGTGGTGGAGCCTTTATATCATGGGAAGCTCTCTCCCTTATTAAGGACCTTGGTAAATATTACGAAAGTTGTTAACCAATATGTGAGTCTCAGTAGTGACATGTTTAACTCAACACACTCAATCTACTTAGCAGATTAGTTACTATGCTGTAGTCAAAGATTCTCCTGAGGTCTATATGCTTTTTGTAAGTTGATTCCCAGGAAATAACTAATTTGTTCCTTTAAAGAAATAAATTTTTATTCAAGTATATGCCAGACATCCAAAACATCACATATGATCAGCCACAGGAGAAAATGAACAAGCAAATAAAACTGCAGCACGTGTAGCTACATTAACAGAGCACCGGCCACGTGCAAAGAAATAGCAGCAACACCCTCCTGCCTTTTCCAGACTCATCTTAGAGACATTATCACGCTGTGAGGACAACTGTACTCCATGTATTTTCTTGACCAAAGTTAAAGAGAGCAGCATGGGACTGAAGGAATGATTCCTTCAGCAAAAATTAAGAATCCAACCTGAAAAACTGAATCTTCCATGTAAACCTAGTGATAGGGAAATGGGCAGATATAAAAATGAAAAGCTAATAGACCTCAGTGTATTAACTATATTTGCAAACATAGAGTTCCTTTTTGTATACTGGTCAAAAAAGATGGATTTGAGTGAAGCTAAAAATAATGAAGCTGCCTGACATGAGCATTTTGATGGCTGACTCAGAGCAGTGTTGGTTTTAGAACGCCTCATCAGCAGAATGTCTACCTCTTGCATAGCTGTGGTGTGACCCCTGTTTCAGAGAAGTAAAGCTCAGAAGACTTGCTTTGTTGAAGGCTCACTTGAGCAGAGCTGTGTTTGGTATTCAGGCTTTTCCTCCTGCTTTTAATAAACCAGCCTGCTAAATAATTGTTCATCTTAACAGGAGATTGTTGATATTTTTTTGCTCTGGCAAATATTTGGTGTACCATTTTGACTTATGTCTTATTTGTGCTTTAAAAATAGTAAAATGGCAAGGTGGTTGTACAATGATCTTTTCTTTCTAAAAAGGCCGGTTAGCACTGTTGACATTTGGGGTCAGATAAATCTTTGCTGTGGACTCTGTTGTGAGTATTGTAGGAATTTCAGCGACATCCCTGGTATCTATCTACCTGTTGATGCTTGATGCTAATAGTACCATTCTCTCCAAGTTGTGATTACTGATATGTCTCCAGAGATTGCCAATTGTTCCCTGGGGGGAAGTGGGGGGAAGAGGGGCTGTGTGTGTAAGAGAGAGAGAGAATTGCCCCAATAAAATAAAGTAGTAAAAAACTTTAGGATAGAGTTAGAAACACACACATGCACTTACATAGTTATTAATGTAGATGTGATCTTAAGGTCTGCTTTTAGAATTCAGTAAAGTTTCTCTCAAGAGAAAGATACATTTTCCAGTAAATTAAACAAAAACAAACAAACAAAAAACAGGCATTCCTTTAGAGAAGACTATATGAATTCTTTCCCTTTCCCTTCCCCTTAAAAATGTTTTCTTGAAGTGGGTTCTAAGGCTGTATCAGGTGGGTGGAAAGTAGTTTTTCCTTCTTATAGTATACATTTATTTTTTGGTAGTTCATTTCATTTCATTGTGTTCAACCAGCTTGACTGGAAGCAGAATGGTAAAGTAAAAGGAAAATTGTGGACTTCTAAATTGTGTTTTAGGGCCACTCTGTGTCACAAACTATTTTTTGCCCTTGGGCAAGTCATTTGAACTCTCTGGGCTTCATTTTCTTTATCTCTATTCAGCTGTAACTTCCAGAGTTTTTTATCTGCTCTAGATTAGAATAAAAGTTATGTATTCTCTAAGCTTTGAATCTTACTTTTTAATACTCAGCATGGAGCCTTAAATCACTGTTAATTGAGTTGAATTCAATTGCATGGATAAATGTCAGGCACCATGCAAAGGTGAATTGAATATCTTTTCCCACTATGAAAGTACATTGATTGTTAATAACCAGTCTCCTTCAATTCAGAACTTAACTCCCCTATAGATTTCTTCAAAAAAAAATTATGCATACAGAACTGGGGTACCGGCCAGAGGTGCAGTGGGAGGATTTACCAGACAGAGTGGGGAGCAGAACAGGCAGATCAACAAAGTACACTGCTGATGGGGAGCAGCAAAAGAGACAAGAGAGGTCTGCTGCTTTACCAGACAGAGTGGGGAGCAGAACAGGCAGATCAACAAAGTACACTGCTGATGGGGAGCAGCAAAAGAGACAAGAGAGGTCTGCTGCGCTATGCCTATCACCTCTCTGGCCGGGGGACCAAACTCACATTGAAGTGGCTGCAGTTAGCTTGCATGGCTGCATTCCTAACCTGTTGTGCCACCAGGGGAGGGCTAGATTTCTGAAAACCTATGCAGACATATGAATAAACTCTGAACAAAGAGTGTTATTTCTGTTGCAGAGGTGTTAAGAGGCAGCTGGCATACTGTTATGAAAGCACAGGGCTCTGGAGTGAAACTGCCTGGCTTCCATTTCCAGCTCTGCAACTCACTAGCTTAGGCAAGTTACCTCTTTGTGCCTCCATTTCTTCATATGTGGAAATGGGTACAGTAACAGTTCCTTTCCTACAGGGTTACTTTGAAAATTAAATAATGTATAGATGTAGCGTACTTAAAACAGGGCCTGAGTCCCAACAAGCCCTCACTCTACACTCCAACCAGATACTGCTGTGCATATCATTACTGGCGATTGCACCCAGTGAGTCTTACTCTTTAATTTTTAAATTTAAATTAGATTGTGGATTTCTTGTAGTAAATTTCCTATGTGTTTTAACACATAGAACTGATTCCAATAAGTGAGTTCTGTATGAAAATTACTGATATACTCGAACAAGAAGTAGGACTTTGGGCTAGAGGCCAAGAAATGGAGTTTTGATTATATTACCTAATTACATTGAGCCCAAATTGTTTAATTGGTGAAATATGAAAGCTCTGTGGCAGTTTCTTTTCCAAGAAAAGTGAGATTCCTTTTGGCTAGTGTTCCATGGACAATATGTCATGCAGCATGCATGTCAGAATCCCTCAGTGGGCCTTGTTAATTTGAAATGTTGTTCCACGGGGGCTACCTGATATTTGGGAATATTGCTCCAGGAGTCATCCTTCTGTCTCTTCTCCTTTGTTCTCTTCCTTCTCTATTCTTAAAGTTTCACATCTTTACTGAAGCCATCAGGTAAAGTGATATGCATTTAATATTAAAAAAGGATATTTGTGCCTTAAAAATATAATCAGTCATTCCTGAGTAAGTTTCAGCAAAAGGCTGTTTGCTATAAAATGCTGTTAATACTTTTTGTGTGCTTGTGGTTTACTGAACTTGAAACTGTTTATTTAAAATGTCTTTTCCTGGAATGTTCTGGTGTCAGTGGATAGAATCTATGGTCAAAGATGTTAGCCTTCAAAATGCTCATTTGGCACTTGAAAAATAAACAACCACCACCCCAAAATTCTTTCAACTTTACCATTTTCTGACAAGTTGGCATTTTGAGTTTTTAGCCCTAAAAACAATATATATATATATATATATATATATACATACATACATATAAGAATTAAAAGTACCACCTGCTTGTTTGCTTGTTGAATATGTGAGATTTATGTGAAACATCTTTCTAGAAAAATTTAAATGTGAGAATCTTGCTTGTTATTGTTTTAAAAGTTGAAATCCCATGTATGAGAAAAACATTTCATTTATATCATCCTTCACACATTCACTGCACAAATACGCACTGAACATCATGTTCCGGGTGCTTTGCACCAAAGTGGGTGAAACCCAGTCCTTGAAGTCCTTGACATGTAAGAGGCAGTGTGGAAGTGGCCATGCATTAGTTGTAAGTTCTTTAACTGAAATCTGTACAAGTAACTTCAGCTATCATTGGCTGCTGGAAGGAAGACATATGTGTGGCTTGCTTAGATCAAGACACCTTCACTAGGATGGTGCTTGAATTTTCTTTTATACATATACAATTTCTTTTATACAAAGAAATTTCTAAAGCTAAAGGACCACAATGAAGAATTCCCAGCAGAGTATAGAGATTTCAGTCACATACAGCATTCACAATGCAGAGAAAATTGTTGACATCATCTTGTCATCTTGGAATTGTGGTGGAAGAATTGGAGGAGAAGGTCACGTTTTAACTGATCTATTTTCCGTGTTACATTCCTGTATAATTAGCATGTGTTACTTTCATAATCAAGAAAAAAAATTCCTCAAAAGACAAAAGTAAATATCCAAGATAAATGAAAAGTTCTTGTCATTACCATAAACTAATATGATAGCAGGATCAGCAAGGCAAAGGTAGGAAGCAGGAAGAGCCATGTAAGAGTCACCAAGCCTCCAGGCAGAATATGACCGAGAACTCAGAGTACTCCCCAGGCTTTGATGTAACCAGAATTATATGCAGCCATTTCTAATTCCATGGTTCTCTCTTGGAATTGGGGACCCATTGGGAAGAAGAGTTCCTTTTCCCAGATTCTAGTGAAGCTTCTCTTGCAAAAGTCTCACAGTGTCCAACCCAGAAACTAAGGAAGTGAGCAACTTCCAATGAAATGACTGTCTGAAGAACAGAGTGAGTGAGAGAGAGCCTTGAAGCCAGCTTGGGAGTGGCCTTGACCTAGAAAGGAGATCCCACAGAGAAACTAGCTCCCCTTGGGTTTAGTCATATCTCACTCAGGGTGTGTAATAGAAATCCCCAAAGCTAACATTTACTGAATAGTACTATGTTGTCGACATGGTATTAAGCTCTCCGCTATGTATATACTCTTTTCTTCCCAACAATAACCCCAACCTATAGTTACTCCTGTTGTATCAATTTTACAGCAAAGGAAACTGAGGCAAAAAGAAGCTGTGGAACCTGTGCAAAGGCACACAGCTAGTATATGAATATTTAAGCCCTGGCATCTGACTGGGGACTCCTCAGTACAGGACTTTCTTAAACTACTTCACATTACCGTTGTTTTACATCCTTGTTAGTATTTTGGAAACATAGGACTTCTTCCCTCAGATAGTAGTCACCATAGCTCTCCACCACCAAAGCACCCATAGACCTCCACCAT